GATATTTATACTGATCTTGAGTTGCAGTTGTCAGATTACATTCTGTTCTGGCTATCATATAGTTCAGATTAAAGATAGTATCATAACTTAGTCACAATTCTCTAATTTGCTATTGTAATTGATTGCAATTCTCTGATAAGCTGTCACAAGTCTCAGATCTCAACCAATAGAAAATATTTGGGCTATTCTTAAGTGAAATGTGAAGAAGACTATTAAAGCAATGATAGCACAAAAACAAAGTGTATTACAAGAGGTTTTTATTGTATTAGCAGAGGATAATATTCCTAATGAGGTAGTTCTTAAGTGTGTCATCAGTATGCCAGCTCGCATTCAGGCTTGCATTGACGCAGAAGGAGGGCATATCAAATACTGATTTTTTTACAGGTATATACCCTATCTAAACGCATTCCGAATATAAAAATTTTGGAGGAATTATTATGTATAAAATTTTTTTACAATAAGAAAACCTCCGGTCATTACTTTCCGGGGGACTGTACCTTTTGTTGCTTATTATTGAACTTCGGATTTTTGTCACTTTTACCAGAAGAAAGCCATTGTTGCATTAATTTCTTTGTAGAATAGTCTAGCAGTAACTGTACAAAACTTTTAGAATCTTGTAAAGAAACCCTCCAATAATGAATAAACCATAGTCTAAATCTCCCACAAACCTGTTAGGCTTATCCATATTTGAAATCTAATAAACCGGATAGGTGTAGCAAATGCTCCAAACAATAAAACACTGCACACATTGTACATGTATATGTAATTAAAGTTGCTCAGCACATAGAATTTAAATCTCTACTGCTACATCACTGAACTAAAAAATAGAATCAAATACTCATGATTGTAATGAATGTATTAATTGTCTATTTTATTACAGCTGCGATGAATGTTTAGTTCACAATACTCATGAGCATAGTAAATGCACAGATTGTCAAGAAAATAAGGGCTGTGCTGGATGTTCAAATATCACAAACAAATTTATAACGATGAATTGTCTAACAGTGATAAAAATATCGAGAATCTAATAAAAGAATGTAACGAAATTAATAATTATTTGAATGAATTCCTTTTGAAGGATTTACCAACGTAGAGTTTCTTGCAAAAGGAAGTTTTGGGTTATTTTATAAAGCAACCTGGTTGGATGGAAAAATTCACAAATGGGATCATGAAGAAAATAGATTTTATCGAAGAGGAGAAAGAAAAGTTGTGTTTAAATTCAAAGCAAATTCCTCAAGAGTTTATAAACGAGGTAAAAATGAACATTTTCTAAAGTGTAAACTGCTTTTTGTTGCTAAAACTATCAGGATTTTCAAAAATAGATTCGGACCGTTCTTAAATGCAGTAAGAGACTATTATTATTATAATTATTAATTATTGTGGAATAACTAAAAATACAAGATGAATGATTACTTATGCTAAAGATAGTGATCTCCGTAGATTTTATCAATTCAAACTACGAAAAATTGACTGGAATCAAAAATTAGAATATTCATATTGGATTATCAGTAATTTAACAATAATCACAAAGAGAAATTTTGCATCGTGACTTCCATCCTGGAAATATCTTAATGCTGCTGAGCACTAAAAAAGTCGAACTATCCTCAAATTGCTGATTTTTGACTTAGCATTCATGTAGAAAAGTCTAATCAAGAAATTCGTGGAGTTCTTCCTTATATGAGTCCGGCGGTATTAAATAATGCTGCAGATATTTATAGGTATGGGATGATTATGTACGAGATTGTAACAGGTGAACGACCATTCTGTGAGCGAATTTATGGAATTGATCTTATATTAGATATTTATAAAGGAATACGACTACAATACCAAATGATATTCCCGTATGATGCAAATTTATTATTGAAAAATGCTGGGATCCTATTCCAAAAAACAGACCGACTGCTGAGGATCTTCTTCATTGTATCTGTTCTATCGAGTCTGAAAATGAAAATTGGAAACCGAATATTTTGCATTTTCAGAACTACATTTCATTAACATATCATAGAACATGTAAAGAAATTAAAGAATGTTTTAAATTAGAAAGACAGCAATTAAATAAGCTTGATAAGGAGATGTCACAAAATCATTCCTCCAGATATAAAAAAATAATTCACCCGAATGCAATTTACACCAATCGAATTTTTACTGCAAAATTAATATCAATCCCAACTGATACAGGTGCGCACATTTATTTTATATTTAATCAAAGTAACAGATCTAATATATAAATACTTAAGCTCTACAAGTGTTAGTTTATATGTTCCAAGTGAAGGTAGATTCACTATTACCGTATATTATACAATATCGATATATATTAAAAAAAAATACTTGTTTCCACAGAATTTGATACAAATATCGATACGAAATCAACAATCATTGGTTTATTTGCATCAAATGAAGCTAAACTTATTAAATATCCACAAGTATATTAATTTAAATAATCGAATATTTAGGTTCTATATTATATGTTCCGAATGAAGGTATAATCTCTATTCTTAAAAAATGCAATAAAATTGATATTAAAAATTGCTTGTCTGCATGTAATATAGACGACGCCAAATCAAAAAAGTGCTGATTTAAAAGAACACTAAAAGTTCATGATTGTAGAAAATTGCATCCGTTGTCAAGAAAACGGTTTGTTGCAATGAATGCTTTGATTATCATTATCAGTAGCAAGAAGATCGACAGTCTGATATGAAAATCAGAAAGTATTTCCAATGGATCCCTTTTGAAAAGTTTGCCAATGTTTGAATATCTTGCAAAAGGCGTTTATAAAGCATCTCTAAACTCTTACAAATGGATTCATGAAGAAAATAAATTTAAACGATCTAATGACGATAAACACGAAGTTGCGCTGAAGTTACGTGATTCAAAACAAATTATAAAAGTGGTAGAAATTGTACAATGTTTAACGTTAATATGTGTAAACAAGGCGATTTTCAATTTAATTGAATATTCAACATTAGGTTCGGACTGCTCTAAACTACAGCGATTTTTACTTTGGAATAAGTTATTATAGAATAACTAAAAACCCAACTGCAAATGACTACTCGATAGTAATGGGTCATCCAGAAGAATATCGGTATGATGTTCGTAAATATATTATTCCAAATACGAAGAATTGACTTTGGAAGATATTTATTGTATATTATCAGGAATCTAACAAAAATTTACGAAAAGGAACTTTTTGATAGTGGCTTTCATCTTGGAAATATATTATTACATATTAATGCTTTCATTACGGCTTTTAGCCTTACCGATTCAGAGATATAAAAAATCAAGAAATTTACGGAATACTTCCCTATATAGGTCCAGAAATATTAAGTGGAAAGCCATACACTAAAGCTGCGGATATTTATAGTTTTGGAATGGGTTATGTACGAGATTGTAACTGGTGAACGACCTTTCGATAAGCGTAGTCATGACAAAGATCTCGTATACGACATCTATAAAGGAGTACGAACTACAATACCAAATAATATTCCTACAGGGTATAAATTTATCATTGAAAAATGTTGGGATCCTATTCCAAAAAGCAGATTAACTATTAAGGAACTTGAAGTGAAACTAGAAAAAGTACAAGGATTAGAAATAAACATTCCTACAAATAAAATTAAAAAATAACAAATCCACCCTAATGCAGTTTACACAAGTCTTTACTTCAAAACTAATATCAATTCTAAAATTAAATATATCAAATATTTAGGTTCTACAAATTTTCGTTTGTATGTTCCACATGAAGTAACATTTGATATTATTTTCATCAATTTCTTTAATTAATAGATTTTATCATTTTTCTTTGTTGATAAACCTGATTTTAAGCAAAGTATTTATTTGTTAATCATTAATTACTTTATCAAATTTTATTATACACATATCTTTTCATATGAACAACATTGTTGTCATTTCATTTAGTACTTTCTGGTTTAGATTTTCATTTATAGGCGTACACGTCAATTAAATCTAATCTCATACGACAAATGGGAACTATTCATGTCCAGTCGTTATATCCAGATTGTTTTATAAACTGATCTAAAATCACCTTGCAAGATATTTACTGCTAGCAAATCTTTCTAAAAGGATCCATCCAGACCTTTACTTTTATCTCATTCTTATTAGACTTTCCATCACTTTATTTTCATTGTTATAAATTGGTTTCCGTTTATGATCTGAACACTCATCTCGGGTACTTCTATTATTGACAAATACAACATTCATAAATGTTATAGACTGAACTTTCAATGCAGTATTTTTAGCTTGACTAAATCAGAATTCATTGCAACTATGTAATACTTGAGGTACTAAACTATTTTATAAATATTTCAAAGGTGCATTTACTATCATGAGTAATTATCTATCAATCGGTAATTATCCATCCTATTTTTTAAAAATAAATGTTTTTGATTGATCACTTTTTTTGTCATGGCCTTCAAGAATATTATATAATCAAGTTGATACAATTTCTTTCAATTAATAGAGGATCCATATATTTTGAAGGGGTTCGTGTCGCTAACCAATTACATATTATGGTGAATTATCGTTATACCTATATTAATGAGAAGTTTTCAGTTGAATTTCTAAAATTATTTAGTCATCATATATTAACCTTTTAATCATAAATTTCCACATCTTGCGGAAACTATTTACTGTGGAAAAAATTGTTCATTTTATATCGAATATTGAGAAACCGAACCTATAAGCAAATAGGTAAAACGTGTAATATTTATTCTAGTTTAAAAATAAATTTAATCGAAATTACGTATAGGATGGAGGTTTAAACTTCAATAACGATAAGATCGTGTGCACTGCACATAATATTCATCGTAATAGTATACTACATGTATATTGAATCTATAAAATCATACATCTTAGGAACGATAAATTTTTTCGGTATCTGTTGTAATTTAAATTTTTTCCTTAGGTACATCTATATTAATTAATTCAACTGATTTTTTTTAAGTTTCGGGAAAAACATAACTCTCACTAACTTAAACTCCAATTCACCCATCATCCGGCATGCAATCAGCATAATCGGCATAAAGAAAAGCATCAGCGGACCAGCCAAACAAACGAGCAAGACTGTTACCGTAAAAGTGATGATACAGATGAAGGATTTCACAAAGACGAAGTAAAGAAATGCAAACCAAGTAAATCGATCAAAACAAATTCCTGTGAAATATTTCAGCCATGATTTTTGGTGTGGACAAGTTGCTGCTACTGTGGGCAATTGGTGTGGATGTAATGGTTTGGTGATTGGTGGAATAATGTGTTTGGGAATTTTTTCACGGACGCACATTTGCACAGCGCATATTTCGATACGCGCAAGTATCCTAGATTAAACATTAAGTTAATACAGTTTCTCAATTAAGAATTTATTGATCAAATAAATAATATTAATATTGATTACCTCCAAGACCATGCAACTCCAATACAAAAGAAATATCCAAGAGGCGGAAAAAGCATTGAGACAATCGCACCTACAAGCGTCGGCAAAATCCAACAGAAAGCGAAAACACCAATTGGAAACGAGATAAATAAGAAATAGATGACACAAATCCATGCATAAGGATCAGTGAACGAAGACCAAAAATAAGCAAAACAACTTGTTTTTTGTTTTTTGGTTTCTGTTGAGAGAGTTTGCTGTTGCGAAATTGACGTTTCTTGTTGTGATAGTGGCGATGTGGATGATGGCGATGATGAAGTGACAGTTGCACTTTCTGGAACATTGAGAGCTATATTGGTGTTGTTGTTGTTGGTGCTACTGGAAGATTGTTGCGTACGTGAAGAAGAAGCGACTTCATATGGTGGTGGTTGATCAATATCAATTTCTAGATAATTGTTATCCAAGGCATCCAATGATTTTTTGTCATCAGGAAAATATAAACTATTATTCATTTTTATATATTATTTTTTTTAATATAGTCAAATTCGCTTGAAATAAAATGTTTATGAAATGAAAAACTGTGCTGTTTTTTTGATGTCAGCAACCCTCAAAAATGACTGTATTTATTATTTTTTGTGAATTTTGCCAAGCTTTATTTTCAATTACCGTTTCCCAACGATAATCATCCACATGTAATTTTAGTGGACGATCTGAACCATACACAATTTTAATATATCTGAAACTTAGTGGATACTTGGCATGAATTTGATAACGATAGAAGAAACTTCATGTTTCTGAAACAAATGTGTATTGGTATGTGAATTATTTTACAAAAATTTATATTTAGGAATTTCTATCGATTTTTCCATACTTTAATATTACATCTAGCCAAAGCACGCCCAGCATAAGGACGATAATCGTTGCTGTATATCGCCAAGATTTCGGAAATTTAGGATTTTCTGTAACACAAAGATACTATTAAATTCATATGATCTATAAGAAAAATGAAATTTCAATATATATGTACGCATATATGTCTATGAAAAACTATAGAAATATACAAAAATGTTAAATGTGTGCGTAAATGATTTATAAATAGTAAAATCTTTCCATTTATTGTATAGTCAATGCATGAAAATGTAGGAGGTTTTGCTGACTTATCAAGCAGGGAGTATTTTACCGAAACATTTGTAAGATTTTCTTATGTTTTTAATTATAACATTCATTTCGTTAAAAAATCTTAAAAGATTAGTTCCATTCTCAATAGAATGCAGGATAAAAATAAAAATAATGAAATTTCAAGTACATAATCAGTAATTTAAATAAACCATTATAAATATTTTGGCAAAAGTTATGAAAATTTGGCAAGCGGTGAATATTATCCACTATAGAACGAAAAATCAAAATTTAAAGTATATATTACAAATAAGTCAAATAAAAATAAAATTTTAAAATAATTTCTTAAATAAAATTATAATATATAGTTTTTTTAAAAAATATTTTTATCTTTGTTTTATATTTCTTTTATTATACAGTGAACCCCCTCTAATATCCACCCCACGGGACCGACCAATTTTGTTGATATATGCGGGGATGGATATCATAGGGGTGTTAGGGTTTTAAATAATGACGTCATATGTAATGATATTCTATACGATACTTATATCTCAAAGTAAATTTATTTATAATAAATTTCTCTTTCATTAAACTAAACCAATCTCTTATAAATTGTGGACGAAAAAATTGAATGAAAAAATCTGTCAACTTTTTTTGTTGCCTTACCTCATATATATTTGATTGAATGCATCGCAAAAGACTTTGTAATCTTGATATGTCTTGCTCTTCTACAAATTTGGTGAGGTCTTGCTGTTCTACATACCGCAGAAGTAATTTACATTGTTCTAATGTCATAGAATGAGAAATTTTTTTGATTCAAATATTGCTACCTTCATTACAACTATCAGAATTAGACATGTGGAGTATCTCTTCTATAATTTCTTCTTCATCAATAATAATCTCTTCTGTCTTGATAGTATCATCCAAATAAATATAATTGTTAGCCATTATTAATTGCATGTTATTAGTACATCAGGAAATTTTTTGGAGAGATATTCATCAAGAATCATCATCATATCTGTAAAAATCAATAAATATCTCTCTGAAATATTGATAACTCCAATGATCTTCAATAAATATCTATATTGATAATAATCAATCATTGTTAATATATTATTTATCAATATATAATAATATATCAATTATTATTACAATATATTATTTATTGATAATAAATAATATATATTAA